ACAGGGAGCCTCCTGAGGCGAAGAAGCGGCTGGTGGGACTGGAGTTCTGCTGGGACTGTTGCTACACGGTCTCCCTGCTCCCTGTTGTATAGGGACAGTGAGTTTTAGTGCAATTGTTTTTAAACTCTTTGGAGAGGACCCACAGAGGTCCCTTCCAACCCATAACATTCTGGGATGCTAAGGGCACTGTGATGATACTAGAAAAGAGATTGCATGGTTAAATATTACCAAAGGGTTTGTGTAAGAATTTTTGAGACGTGTGTCTGTAGTGCTTTAAGAAAAATTGAGGTGAATTTGTAAAAGAAATTAATGTCTTCTGAGCATGAGTGTTTCCAAAGAGGTGCACGCTTAGGTTTCTGACGCAGCTTTGAATTGCAGTCTCAATTGCATGAGGAGACGAGATGTTCATCTCACTGTGAATATCAGGGTTTCACAAAATCTGTTTTCACAGCGTTACACAACAACAGGGAGGAACTGAGGTGGTCACAGTCGTCAGACTTGGCTCGTAAGAAGTTAATCTTGAATTTCTGTCTCTATTAATAGTCAACAAGCAAATGGGGTTTGGAACAACTGTGTTAATTTTAGGTTCATTTGAAGTAGAGGAGATGATTCTAAATGATGATTCTGGTAAATATGATAGGAAAGATTTGTAAAGAGGCAGTTTCCTCTAGATGAAATATCTAATGCATACTCAACATGCAAGGGAATTAAGTAATCCCTCATCTAAAAATGGAATAATGAAGGGGAAAAAAAAAAAACACCAAACCCTAGAAACTGGCAACAAGATACTGCTCAAACTTTACTTAATCCCTGTTATGTGGTTATTGTCTGTGACCGTCTAAGTCTCTTCATGGACAGAGGTTTTAACAGCTCAAGCTCCTTCTAAAATAGTTTCAGAGGAGATGGAAGTGATGTTTGAGGGTTCATTAATTATTGCTCTTACTGGTGTTTGCACAGGCAGCTGAGATCATAAATGTCAGTCTGTCAGTGTGATGGGTTCTTTATGAAAAGAAAAAAAGAAACCCCGAGTGCCTCAAAAAGCTGTCATTAAACCAGAGATTAAACAGATTCATCTCATTCTTGAAGCAAGCAGCACCAGAGGAGGGCTCCTCTTTCTCTCTTCTCTTACTACTCTCCATCTTTTCCTTGCTTCCTCCTTCCCTGTTACATTTTCTCAGCCCACGTCCCTGCTGGGTTTAGAGCTTCCCACCCTCTCCCCAGAATGCCATGAAAGAGCCATCATGATTGTGCATGCAGCCTGAAAACTCCTCCGTGACAGGAGAGTGAGAGAGCAGGATTCAGCTCTGACAGTCGTAACGCCATTCAGTTGGAAAATTTTGAGAAAGGAACATGAGTAATGAAGATGAGAAGAGAGACAGTAAGGAGCAAATGCGAGCTTCTGTCCAAGACATAACAGAATTTTTAAGAACGCTACTCTGCTTGTTGTTTCCAGACAAGCCTCCAGTTTCAGTCTTGCTCAGCTAAATTACTTCGTTCCCTTATTTCAAATGGGAGTTTGATAGTCACCACAATTAAGAATCTCCATCAACAGAAACAGATTAGAAGAATCCTTGTTTCTTAACTCTGAAATAAAATTGTGATGGGAGAGTGTTAATAGCAGTTATTCCGCTGAGCAATTTCTTTGTGAAATTTTGGGGATGTCTCTGTTGTTGTTTTTCTTCATTTTTACAGAAAAGCTTTGTGATTGACATCTGCAGGTAAAAGAAAAGCATTCTTTTATCTTTTTTTTCCTGTCTCAGACTGAGTATTTGTTGGTTTAGGTGAAACGCTGAAATGCAAGTTGAGTGTGGAAAATGTTTCTTAAAAGCAAAGCAAGAAGTAATTCTTGTTGCACAAACCATCCTTCTAAGGAAAGCCACTGTCAGTCACTGGCCAAAGGAATCCTATTCTCTGTAGCCAGTTTTGATTGTGGAATAGTTCACACCGAGAATTTACTCTTGACTCTAGTTGCAGCACTTCACCCTGTTCGTAGGTATTTTTTTTCTGCACTCCAGGTAGTAAAGCAATGCATGACGATTTCCTTTTGCTGTCAGATCTCTGAAGTTTAATGTTGCAAGATTCCAGGTGCTGAAAGATTTATTTTGCATCCTGTATTGCTTGTGTCAGTGTTGCGGAAGGCAGCATGGTCTGGAAGAAATGCGTGCAGGACTGAATCTGAAAGTTCTGAATTCTTGTCTGTGCTTTCTCCTTGCTCCTTGCCTGTAAGGAGACGTAAGGCTGTGTGCTGTTGGTCCATTTTGTAACGAGCCTTAGCTTGTGCTTGCGTGCTCGAGGCGCTGTGCGGTCAGCAATCAGACAGCTGCTGCTGTCCCGGAGAGTCAGGCTAAGTTTTACCTTGGTGTTAACACTGTCTAATTTATGGCAAAAAGATAAGCATTTTTAAAAATTAGGTATCTAAATTTTCATTTTCATGTCATATTAGCCATGCTGTTTTAATATTAATTTAGTCATCACCAATTAACAGGAAATGTGTAATTGAATATTTTAATTATAGGACTACTAGCCTGACTTGGGGTATCTGTTTTCCTCATTAAGACACATGGCTTCATTAACTGATTAGACACTGGTTTACTCATGCACATGAATCCCTTATTTGGACTTTATTATAAGCAGACTGGTATGGTTTCCATCGGCTTAATTCAGAATGCCAAATTTGCCTCTGAGAAGTACCAGAATGGCTTGTGTTTCCAGAAGTAAAGGTGGGTGGGAGGGTGGCTATTTCAACAGAGCAGTGCAATTGTTCCGCTGCGTAACGAACAAAGTACAAACCGTGCATTTCACCATCTTTGGCAACAAGGCGGGCTGGGAGAGGTCCGCCTGACCCCCGAGGCAGCCAGGTCCCGGTCCCCAAGCAGCCTGGTGAAGGGTGCACCCTGCCACGTTCGAGGCCAGGCTGCTCTGCTGGGCTCTGAGCACAAGTGTCGGAATAGTGGGACTGTTGCCTCCAAGTATGAGTTGCGATCTCTGCAGTCTGCTCAGGGGATCTTCCTCTTGGATCATCTTCTGTAGAGATTTAATGTAAGACAGTACTAGTTGTTCTGTAACTGTATTAATTCATTATGCACTCTCTTCTTTTCCTTGCCAAGGCTCCTGCACAGCCAGGCGTGCAGAGGTGGAGTACGTTACGTTCTGAATGTTAGTTTAGACCTAATAGATGTATTTTGTAAGGGGTGAGTTGTAATCCATGACATTGATCAAAAAGAAGGCTGTATTGAGGCACACATCAGATAAAATTGTTGCAGCTTAATAAAAACTTATCACCTGTATATTGTAGAGAAAGCAGCTCACTTTTTTATTAAATGTGAGATGCGGGGACTTTGTACTTACAAAAAGCCACTGCATTTTCAGCATATCTGCAGAGCAGTGTGACAGAAATAAAGTAGACCCAAGTGAAGTAAGTTTTATATTCGCAATAGCTGTAATGTTGGAGTCCAACAACTGGAAAAACACTGTGAGACAAGGTCTGAAACCCAGGTGAGGAAGGTGGGTTAGTCTGTACTGCATGTGAGGAACCAGAGAAGGTTAACAGAGCATACCCCGGAGGGAGAGGCTAGCAGGCATTCCTAGTCTGACTTCATGAGACATTTGGTCCAGGAAAGTCATGATATTGAAAAGCAGTGGATCCGAATAAGATCATTGAAGTAACAAGGATATGGACAATGTTTTAGCCACAGCAGTTATCTTTTCCTGGCTAATCCAGGACAGCTAACAGAGTAGACAGGTTTCCCATAAGTACAGGCCACCAGGCAAAGGTGAAAACATGTTCAGTAGGCTACCGTCTTGACAGAAAGATGCAGCTGTCTTTATTTGTTGGATTAATGTCCTTTCAGAATGGATTTAACTGCACTAATGCTTTTTTTTCCCCCTTGATCACCGTCTTGCACTAGAACGCTGACTGATGGCAGTAATGGCTTTCAGCCGCTGGTCTGCTTGCAACACTACTACAAACAATTTAATTGTTTGGATTAAATTTATTTGCAGCTTCTGTTAAAAAGAAATACAGAATATATTCCGCTGCGCACAGGTTTGGGAAGGGAAAATGTCTTTTCTAGCCTGATCTGACCCAGATCTGCTGAAATCCGCTGCCTCCGACGTGCCACAAAAATAAGGCTTGGGCATCTCACATTCCAGTCAGTGGTGTGCATTTCGTGTGCTGCTCTAGAGCCCTGGGCAACATACTCTCCATTGTAAAAGAAAAAAAAAGGGCACTACACTAGCTGAAGTTACACTTTCCTGAACTTTAACTTCTTTGTGAAATTTTGGGGTTTTCCACATGCTATTTTCTTATAAGCTGAAATTTGTAAAGTTATTAATGCAAATAGTATTCTGACTAGTTCTTTAAAAATGGCTGAGCTCTTTGAATTTATAGCATGCCTGTACAGGTTGGGCTTATTTTTTGTGGCTTTGTATTGTTGGTGTACGCTAATTTAAATTTAAATTGTTATCCACGTGGAAAGAGGGAAGTGCGATGTGGTGCTTTCATGTACCGCCTTCAGTCGTAAGAGATATAGTTTACATGCTGTGCCTTAAAAATCTCCCTCCTGCCCAGGGAGGAAATACGTCAAACCCGTGTTCAGCTGTGTTTCATCAGCAGCCTACTGCAGTTAGTGTGTGCAGGGAGAACGAAGGAGGCACATAGGAGAAACTAAATGAGATGACAGATGAAGCCTGCAGTTGTTTCAGCTGGTGTGTACCCTACATGTATCCATCCGTGACCCAGCCGTGGCTGGAAGGAAGCTGATCGGTTCATTTTCTATTCAGTACTGCCAGCAGGAGGGGTTCTTATAGGGAACAAAGATAATTTGTCCTTTACTTGATGCTCGTTGTTAAGAAAATGTGTATATGCGATAGAATGGGAAGTATCACACTGCTTGGTGGTGACCCCAGCTGAAAGCAATATACCTTCAATCTGCCCAAAGGGATGCCTCAGCAAGGAAGTTCTAATATTTTTCCTAAAATATTTGTTGTGAACACAACAGATTCACAGTCGGAGAGTGAGGCTTCTCCTGTGAAACGGCCACGGCTACTGGATGACAGTAATGACAGGCCTGAAGAAACCAGTCGATCCAAACAGAAGAGTAGACGCCGATGCTTCCAGTGCCAAACAAAACTGGAGCTAGTACAGCAGGAACTGGGATCGTGTCGCTGTGGTGAGTACTGTTTGCCAGTAGCGTCCGGCTTTCTAACGCAGCCGTGCTCGGATCCATATCGGAGGTGGAAACGGAGAGAATGCTTGCATTCTGTATCTTTCAGAGATACTTGAAACAGAAGCTATAGCTTCCGCTGGTAGCAAAAAGTTGTAATTTCCCCTTTAAAACTTCGGCCCTGATGTACTGCCTTGTCTCGAGAGATCTCAGATGTTCATGAATTTAGCTTCAGAAGTCCCCATGAGGCAGGAGAGCATCATACCCTTTTGACAGGAGAAGAAACACAAAGCACATCAGTAGATACGCAAAGATGACAAGGTTTTTACATAGCTTCAAGGAACATAGGTCAGCGCCTAAATTCTGCATTTTATAATTACATTATTATGAAAAAGTTAAACCCAAAATAACCTCTAGTGGAAAATGTTTTCATTCTCACAGTTAGCTGGTGGGGGGAAAAACTTGCTCACCATACACTTCAAATCATCCTGGCTTTTCTGAGGTTGAGGACACTGTTCAGCTAATTGAATTGAGGATGATAATCTCATGTAGACCGCTAATTTGGGATTTCATATTACATACAAGTAATCTTTCTGAAGTAATAATGTGACTAGATTCCAGAGGAGGTGCACTCGCCTTCACGGAACAATTACGTTCATAACTGGTTTAAATGTGCTTATCAGACTTGGTGGTAATCCACATGGTAGTTTTACCTGGTAATTATTTTTTCATAAAATAAGGTACTGAAAGCTTACACTTGTGCTCTCTGACTGTGGTTGTATTGCTGCATTCGGAGAAGTTTGTTCAGTTACCTCGTTGTGTCTCAACAGGGGGATAATTTCCGAAGGATTTGCATAGACAATAGGTGCGATTCTCATTGCACCTCTGAAGTGCAGAACTGTGGATTAGGATCTTTTCTGGACAGAAGTCATGTCCTTCAGAGCAGCAGTGGGGAGAGAAAGGATTGGCTAAGCTAGTTACGAAGACCCAGATAATGAATTCTGCATTGAAAAAACGTCAAGTGACGAGAAGCAATAGAAAGCTTTAAAGAATCCATATTATCCTTTGATCTTTTCTTCAGCACCTGTCTGTCTTCAGCCTTTCTGTGTTGTGCTCTTTTGGACAGGAGACAAGCTTTGTTTCAGATATTGGAGCACTGCTATAACTAACATACGTTATCTGTGAAGCCACAAAACATGAAATCAAAAGCTGTAATGTTGAAATTCTTGTTACGGAAATCATGTGTCTGGATACTTTGAAGTATCCAGTAAGATTTTTGTCGAACTGAAGACAGCGCTATAAGTGAGACAGTTTTGGTACGGCTCTTTCTGTTCAGCATGGTGGAGGCAGGAGTTGTTACGCTTGGTCTGCTGCAGTCACATATCAAATGACTGAGGCTGCTCAAAAGATTACTTAGTGATTTTGTTGTATCATTAATCTTTCCTGCATTCTGCAAAATTGGAGGTATGCAAGAGCGATGAAGCTGAAAGCAACTTTTTAGAAGTCCTTCCATTGATTAGTATTGTTTTTAAAATTACAAAATAAGACCTGCCTTTTTTTCATAAACTGGATGACAGATATATCTGGTTGGTTCCTCTCAGGTTTTCTTGAGGTAATTCAACATTGTTGCATTATAAATGTTGTAGGAATTATTCTTTAAATTGTTTCTACTGAATATATACAACTTTATGGAAATAATTCTGTTAAAGCTCATAAAATGTGTTAATAAAACATCAATATGAAACAAAAAATTCTGAGTTCCTCAACAATAAATGAGGAAATGAAAATTTGCATTCCTACATTGCATGTTACATCCTATATAGCTCCAAGGATATATAGGAAACATTTCTATTCCGCACATTTAATGAGAGAAGTGGGAGGCAGGAGTCTATTTCCCTGTTTACAACAGGGCTGAAAAGACTGCAGATCTGTGGTTTATCTGTGCAGCTATAATGTTTCGTTAATATTGTATTCAGTAGATGTGTTGTTACCTATAATGAAATGCTCTCATGTGATGTGAAAGTAGGCATAGCCTGCACTACTCACTTTTAATAGTAATATTAATGAGAAGCAAACAAAACCCTACCACCGAGCAACACAGGTCCTCTCAGCTTCACGTCACCTGAGCTGCTTTGCCAATACTTATCAGCGTGTAGCTTTTGTCATTTTTTAAAGAAGTTGCCTTAGAAACCATTCTCGCTAACTCTGCCATACTGTCTGTAAAATTAGGTTGCATTAGGTCATGAATGACCAGAGAGATCAAAAGCCCTGGGGAGGGGGTGATGAGAAATAGAACATAATAAATATATTAAAATTCTTATTCATTTAAAATGTTATCTAAATCTGTAAGCAATCAGGTTATCCTTTTTGTCATAACGTGAAGCATGTTTGTTCTGGACTCTGGACAACTGCTATTAAATTCTTGGCATCATAATCCTTAACTGAAGCAATGGGGAAAAATGTAGAAAAAACCCTAAACTTTAAACATGAAAAGAAATTCTGAAAGTCAGAATCAATAAAAAGGCAGGCACAATCTTTAGGAGGACAAATGTATGTGTTTGGATATAAGGAAAAAGGATTAACCACATAAATTGTGTTGTTCCAAAGCTCTGTCTAAAACACTGTTGTTAAAATCCAAATTAACTCTTTAAGACTCCACAGAACAGCAATTTTATTGTTGGCTGTTGCACATCTTCTTGTGCTAATGTTAAAAGTACTGGAAATCATCTCCTTTTTCACTGATGTGTCCTGGTGACTTTCCCAGTGACATTTTTAGTGAGATAGTGGGAAGAAAAATCTATACATACTGGACAATGTTTTCATGTAGATATGCCTGCAAATATTAATCCAGTGTAACTGGGACTTGTTCAATGAGACACAACCTATTTAAAAGGCGACAGAGCGAGCAAGCTGCTGCTTTACACGTAAGGCTTTACACTAAATTCGAGATCTTTGGGAGACTGCTGTAGTGGCTCTGCTGGCTCCTGTAAGACCTGTCCAGAGAGAGGTGATGCTGCTGAGCTTGTTCCCTTGACACTACATGGAATTTTAGACAGATTTGACAGTGCTGCAGGGCTTTGCCATGAAGAAAAACAATTTGCTACTGAGAAGGGAGTTCCAGTAAGGGTTCTTCAAACACGACATTTTTCAGATGTAGAAAGATTTGTTTATTTTCATACACACATACACACTTACTCTCAAGATATTTTTTAATTCTGCTTCCACTCTGTACAAGTTATTAACTGCTGACAAGAAATTCACATCTCATAAATAATGCTTAAGAGCCATTGCTATATAAATTGAATGTGTTATGAATTGTGATGGGCCTTTTTGTAGCGTTCTGTGCCTGGAGCAGGAAGAACAGAGGATGTCATTTTCATTAATTTCTAATGAGGTGCCAATTAAAGCCAAGGAAGGAACTCAGAAGGGAAGAGTCGCAGAGCTCCCCTGAATCCTGTACCCTGGGGCTGTCAAATGAGCGTGCTGCCAAGCCTCTTCTGAAAGTTCCAGTAAATTACAAACTCATCCAGAGCACACATAGACAAATTCGGCTTCCCTTTGATCTTCAAAAGAGCAATTTGTAAGACGAGTTCTGAGCCTTTTCACATGATGAACTGGGAGAAGTGATAGGAATTGTTAATTGCTGATGCACTTTGCAAGCTTCAGTGAGAAAGAGAAATTTCAGAACGAATTCTCATTTTGTGCCTCTCTGACTGGATAACCTTTAAATCAACACTACCAGAACAAAACCAGCTTCCTGTGAAACGTTTCTAGATGACAGTTACACTAGGCATGTTTTCCAGACGGCGATGTTCTCTAGTTTTGGGTGGGCCTTTCAATAGTTTAGTGTCTTATGACGGATAATGATTGTATTGAAATAATGTATTTATTTAGTATTTGATTTAGTTAGCAGTTATATCATCAAGGAATTACAGGAATTGTACTCTTCAAGTTACATTTTTCAAGTTAGCATTTCTGCTGGAAGTATAAGCAGTCCAAAATCAATCACCTGTGATCCTTGAGCTGGAAATTAAGTTGTCAGTATAGTGATGGAGCAGCTCATCCTGGAGGTCATCATCAAGCAAGTGGAGGAAAAGAAGGTTATCAGGAGTAGTCAGCATGGATTCACCAAGGGGAAATCATGCTTGACCAATCTGATAGCTTTCTACGATGGCATGACTGGATGGGTGGATGAGGGGAGAGCAGTGGATTTTGTCTACCTAGACTTCAGCAAGGCTTTCAACGCTGTCTCCCGTAACATCCTCCTAGGGAAGCTCAGGAAGTGTGGGCTGGATGAGCGGTCGGTGAGGTGGACTGAGAACTGGCTGAATAGCCAAACTCAGAGGGTTGTCATCAGCGGCACTGAGTCTAGTTGGAGGCCGGTAACTAGTGGTGTCCCCCAG